CGCGGCTGCCCCGTCATCTATCGCAGGCATCATGCCAACTATCACGGCTGTTACACCATCTATCGCAGGTATCCTGCCAAGCACCCGTGTTGCACAAACATAATAATTAAAATTTGGAATATTCATAAAGAACAATTGGTGGTTGATGAATACCCTCATCGTACAACATATGGGTGATGAGTTCCCTTATCGGATAATACATAGACGATGAATGCCCTCATCGGACAACACCTGGGCGATGAATGCCCTCATCAGACAACATATGAGCGATGACCACCCTCATCGGACAACACATAGGCGATGACCTCCCTCATCGGACAACACTTAGGCGATGAATGCCCAATCCGGTCAACACATTGGGCGATGAATGCCTAATCCGATCAAGGCTTTGAGCGATGACCCAGCCTTATCGGATGTAGTGTTAGGCGATAAAAATCTATATTAGATTTAGAATATTTACCACAACACTTAAACATATTAGTCTGAATCTAATGTAGTACATACTTCCATGCATCAAAGCAACTTACGTAAAACGTTATAACACATAATTTACCAAAAATTTGTAAAAAAACTTACCTTTGTTTGAGACCTCAATGAATGCTTCTGCCTTCTTCCCTTTGATAACCAAGTTTGCTAAAATTATTCTCCCAAAACAAAAAACCTTTCTTAGTCCCAACTACTTACTATATATAGTTATAAGAGTGAGGCGGTGCATGGCCATGCACCAGCCTCCCCCCCCCCCCCCCCCCCGAGACAATTCATTATAATCTAATCTTATTCGACCAAAAATCAATTACCACAAGGAGGAATAAAATAATTTTACCAATAATCCCTCAGCTTCCAATATACGTCAGATTTTACCTCTGAACTTTCTGTTGCTATATATTTTCGAAACCCGAACAATCATTACACCTTCTTCATAGAAACTTTTAACAAAACAGTAAAGACTAAACGTGTATAAATCAGGTGTTGTTCACTATCCCAGTTTCTTCAAGTACCTTGATTGTTATAGACTTGATGATTTTCTAGGATTGCGCTCTTTATTTGCTAGCAATCTAAATGTACATGTAATATTTACGTCGTGAAATATCTGGATTTTAGGAAGTAAGCTGGACATTTCTTTCATGAAAGTTGCTCTATTTGTTCTGTTTTCTTTCTAATTGGCGACACTGATGGCAGTCATCGTTCCTTTGGGGATATCTAATGTCACCAATTACTAGAGGGACTTTTTGGAACAACTAATTTTTATCCACCTAGAGGTCAACCGCATATTGTTTTTTTGGTTCATGCTTTTATTGTCATTCTTACAGATACTGCAAATTGAAATATCAAATAGTTGGATCTTATTTCATCAAGTGAACATTTTATTTCACTTCGATCCATTTAGGATATGATGAATCACCTAGTTAAGAAAAAGATTTGTTTGACAAGAATAGAGGAAGATAATGGAGCTGAAGATTAATAGATGAAGCAACTTAGAGAAACAAATGAAAACTCATTAAAGGCGATTCAACGAACACCTTTCGCACAACAACTTTACATAAATTCAACCCATTCAAGAATTTCAACAAACATGAAGCTATTACATTCAAATGTCTAAATATAATATCTTACTCATAATTATAGCCTGCTACTTGTCGCTTGACTTGATTTTGATTTGCATGTAATATCCACCAAATTGTGTCTTTTTCTGCTTCTATTCTGATTTGAGATGAGAAAAAGCAAAGAGTTTGCAGTATATGTGTGATCTCTATTGAAATATATCTTAGGTTTACACACCTACAATGCAATGCATCTGCTCTATCACCTCCTGAATTTTCTGGATTATACACGTTCAGTTTGAACATGCTACTTTTTCCGAAGTTTCAATTATTATCCTTCAATATATGTAGTGTTTCACAAATAACCCATAATTTCTTCTTTGTATAAATAACATGCTTACCACTCATGTTTGTCATTTATTTCAGTTTCATCCATAAAATTAGAAGTGTTGAATTAAGACACAGTTGATTCATATCATTTTGTACATGTTGTCTATGTCATTATAATAGAAATGAAATTTATGCATCCATAGTATGTGTACATTATGAAAACAAATACATATATATTTTGACATGGTTATGTGTTCATTATTAAAAAAATACATATATATTTTGACATAGTTATGGGTATATTATTAAAAAAAAAATACATATATATTTTGATCAACATTTGGTAACATAAAACTGAACAAGACATAACAAATAAAATGACCAACTTATTCTTAATGAGTTATTTATATCTTTGATATATTTTGATTAATAATTTATGTAATTTATTTAATTATAATAATATAAATCTTTTTATATGAAAATGTATCATTAAAAAGTTTTGGTCAAGACGATCAAAATGACAGCAAAAATAAAAAGTTTAAGTAGTTTTCAATTTTTATTTTATATCTTTTCTATATTATTAATATTTAATAAATTACATAAATTAATCAAAACATAGAAAATGTATAAAAAATAATAATTTGAGGACGTTACCGTGTAAATTTTAAGAACATAAAATAACAATAAATAAAATGTAAACGATAAAGTTCGGCAAAAAGCTCGTCATGATGAGTTCCTTATTTTTGTTTCTTTCTATTATCTTCCGTCGATCTTTGCATGTAATGTTTGATTTTAAATTTATTGATTGAGTTTCGAAATAAATAACGATGGAAGATGAGGGACTAAAGGTGAAATTGTGGTCACCTCCTTGTGGTTTGAAATTTTTGGTCCAATGTGTATCTTGGACTTTGGTTTTCAAAAGGGAGGGGGGGAGCTACCTCACACCCCCTTTCTGCATCATATATGTAGCTTGAGAGGAAAAGAAAAAGGGTTTGAAAGAAATTCTGATGGTTTTCACTCAAGGAAGAAAGAAAGATCCGGATAAAAAATTTGGTGAGATATTAGTTAATATCAGACGAGGTGAGTTTTTACAAAACTTTTGTAAAATACGTGTTATTACGTTACACGCAATTTACTTTGATACATGAAATTATGTGATGTGTTTATATTCGAAAAATTATGTCCAGTAGGGAATGTTCATTTCTCAAGCTTTGGGAGATGAGGGGTGCTCATCTCGCAAGTCTTGAGAGATGGGGGGTGTTCATATCCCATGCCTTGGGAGATGGGGGAGATGGGCACTCATCTCCCATGGATGAATGAGCGCTCATCTCCCATGCCTTACGAGATAAGGGAGTTCATCGGTCAAGCTTTGACCTATGAGTTTGTTCATCATTTAAACCGATAGTTGGCCGATAGAGGACGATAGATGGCGGGACATCCGCGATAGTTGGTGGGTTTAACCGCGATAAATGGCAGGGCAGCCGTAATAGTTTTAACAGTTGAGATCAAAACTGAATTCATTAACATTTTGATCTATTTGATGCGATGAGTTATATCAGAATGTGTTAAATAAGTTATTGGGTTACTTGATGCGGTAAATTGGTAATGTCTTATCTTTTAGATGCGACAAAAGAGGTTTGTTATGTCAAAAGGTTGTATATTTGTTATTATTACAAATATGAGTTTATAAATGTGTTTGGTAATTATTCACCCTGTAATAGCAGGCAAGAAGGAAATTCACTCATTAGACATTTCGGTCTAACCCTTATTTTTTGTGTTTTAAATGGTGCATTACAGGTCAGGTAACCAGATGTTAAGGGAAAGGGAATTTATGAAGAGATTATATGATTGCCTGCATGTGAATACTTGGGATAATGTGCTGTAACTTGTACCTGCATACTGCTTATGGGTGCAAGTTTTGAATAAAGAGATTTTGAGAAGAAAATAAATTTGGTAGCTACTTTTATAATGTAGTTTTTATTATATTTGGAACCAAATGTGTAAAGTTATATTTTCTTGTTATATGAAATACATGATTGTATGCAAATGTGGAACCTGGGGCATTACATTGCACACCCACAATGAAGTAAATTTCTGATTCAAAATCAAGCCCAGTGGTTTGACAATTTGTTGATTTGAGGAAAGATTGTTATGTCCGTCTTATTAGGTGCATGTGCACGGGCAAGGATGCGTTTAATTCTAAAATTCTTGCATAAAGAGCCATGTGAATCAACAATACCATCATATTTGGGTGATGCATTTCAAATTGAAGCTAGATATTATAATTAACAACTGATGAACAGAAAACTCCTAGCAAAATCTCAAAGCCTGAAAACGATTGAATTTCTAACATCAAATGAGTTGAATAATGGTCCGACAAAGAGATTAAAAAGAAACCATTGACCTCTTTTGCGATCAAGTTGAACAGATATTGAGATTTTGATCTTCCCGAATCAAATCCTTCTTCTTCTTCGTGTTCTTGAGTTGAGAAATGGAGATCGAAGACTGCAAGAAATAGATTGAAGAATAGGAGATGGTGTCTGACCACCAAGACTACAATGAAATTGAAACTGAAGCAAAGTAGTGAGAAGATAAATCAAACAAAACAGTAGAAAGGGAAAGAAGACACATACCTTGACTGTTGCTCCAAATGATTGAACAAAATGTTATTTGTTCGGCGAAAAGGGAGCTGATCTTCTCCCAATTGTTGTGGGTAAGAAGAAAAACGATGAATTCATGTACCAGATGATCATCGATGTCATGAAGGTACATATTTAGGGAGAGGGGAGGAATTCTTGGGGAATATAGAGGGGAACGTGGAGAGGAGAAGGGTCATAGTGGAACGTGGGAAGAGATTTCAAAGCATCGGCTTTCGTATAGACATCAATGTGTTTGTATCATTTGTTTAAACAACCGTAACTCTTAAAAATTCAAGAATAAACGGAACTGTTGTTTTTTAATACAGTATAAATGGGGAGGATTGCATTTACACGCCATGGCATTTTATAAAAATTGGCTAACATACGCACTCATCTCCACCCCCTCCCCTCCCCTCCCTTACTTCTAAAGTGCCACGTGACATATCCCACCTGTGAAAACCCTCTCACCTCCGTATTATCCCCACCTGCGTCCCTTCTGAGAGTTCTACCGCCGTGCTTTCACTAACATGCGCCATAACCTCCTCTCCACCTCCTTCATTCCAATGGCCCCTTCGTCCTTCTCCTCCACCACTACCACCCACCACCACCACCACCACCACCTCAACAAAAAGCCATCTTCATCTTCTTCAAACCCTAACCCTAATACATGTACAAGCTGTTGCTCTCATCATTCCCCGTCTGCCACTCTCGACATCCTAATCCTCATCCTAGTCCTTTTTTCCGGCGCATTTTTAGTCTCCTCGTACTTCTCCTACATTTTCCATTCCCTCTCTCTTATCCTCCCACCTATTTCTCTCTCTATCCTCATAGACATATCGTCTCTTTATCTAATCGGTTTCTTCTTGTTCTTCGTGCTGTCAATAATTGGTTTGGAGATCTGTTGCGGCAACAGATCACGGAAGTGCGGAAAGAAAGGGTGTAAAGGGCTGAAGAAGGCGATGGAGTTCGATTTGCAGCTGCAGACGGAGGAGATATTAAGATCAGGTGCCAAAGGAGTGAAGGAGATGGAGGAGTTGCCTTGGAAAGGAGGGAGCGAGACAAATCCTGATTACGAGTGCTTGAGGACTGAGTTGAGGAAGATGGCACCGATGAATGGGAGAGCAGTACTGCTGTTTCGGTCCAAATGTGGTTGCCCTGTTGCAAAGCTTGAAGGGTGGGGACCCAAACGTGGAAGGAGAAACAAGAAGTGAGTTTGATAGTTTGCAGACTTTATTTTGCTGTGGTATCATGTATTATAGCTCAAATCGTGAATTATTAATTTAGTTGTTTGTGAATCTTTAGCATGGGGACAACTTACTGATGCATCGCTTATGTGGCAACTGATTTTGAGTTGTTTTTTTTGCATTGATGATTAGGAATATCATTAGTTGATGAAAGACATAACCTTTGACTAACTGAAGTTAGGTTGCAGGTTTTGACATAAAAATCCTTGCACGCTCACTGAAGTTAGATGTTTTGATTGAAGAATAACCAAACCCCAGCCCCCCCCAAAAAAAAAAAAAAAAAAAAGAAAAAAAGAACATGGCCATGGGTTTTGGGGTCATTGATTTAGTGATATGATTGGCAAAACTGTATCGGGTTGTTTGTATGAATGAAGTTTTTGATTGATGAGATCAAGTACTTGGAGGTTTTTCTGATATGTAGCTTTGAATCAAATTGAGAGTGAACAAATTGGTGGAGGAGGTGAAGGGTATTCTTTAAAGATTATCTATTTTTCTTTAAGACTTGAGTGGTGATGTACGATGGTCTAACTAACATTACGGTGTTTGATAATGCTGACATGAAAGGGGAATGATAAATGTAAAAATTTCTCTAGAACCAGCTGATCTAAATGGAATTTGTTCTCACTATTGAGATTTTATGTTGGTTTTATTTTGATGTGACATAAGATCTATTTGTGAGCCCTAGAGCATCATTTTGTAAAGGAGCGTGAGGAAGACCTTCTGTAGTAGTCAAGTGTGTGCAACAAAGTGCCCTGAGGTAGGATTATTTATTTCATTTCATCTGCTAGTAAACAGTTATACAGCTTAGTCATAGGGTTTGGAGTTTCAGAGTTCTGCTCTGGAGGATTGAGGTCTGCTAGATTATCAAGTATGGGAAATGTTGGGATATGTGATAAAATGTGTAGGACAATTCCCTGGCTGGATGCTATTATTATCTTTCCAGCTCAATAAAATGCCATGAAGGTAACAGAACACTCAACCTATATAATTATTTGGAGTAGATCAGGTATTTTAAATAACAACTTGTGCTTGAGATCTGGACTAGTTTTTCCGAGGCTGCATCCTCATTGTTCCTCTTTTCTTCCCAATTTTATTCCTCACATTCATTGATAGGATAAGCACCCTGAATATACCGTTCCCAATCTTAGCAAGTCTGACATGCTGAATATTAAATTTGGATTATTCCATTTGATGAAACAAGTTTGGAACCACATTTATTTGAAGTCTATGCAGTAGCAAGGCATGAAAGTGCCTCCTGGGGTCCATGAGCATAATGGAAGCGGGCATGGGCTTGATTGTCATAAAGTTTGCGTTATAAGCATGGAAACAAAACTAATGGACCTAAGACCACTACCGTGCAACACTGAAAGTGCATCAACTACTTTCGATACTTTACACTAGCATATTGCTTACTAGTGCTTTCCACCAAACAGTTTGATATTCAATTGTTTCTTTAAAGCGTATTATTCTTTTTCACCTTTTTCCTCCCATTTTTAGTTGGAGTTTACTTGACGAATTGTTTAATTTAGATGCTGCAATATGTTTGTTTAGTTAAGGTTTTATTAAGAAAGCATAAAACTATCATCATCATTCTCAACATTAGTAMTAGTGTTCTCATTTAGTATGATCATTTTTGTTTTGAGTAAGCTACGATTTTCGTCCCGATGGTATTATTCTTTTTCACCTTTTTCCTCCCAGTTTTAGTTGGAGTTTACTTGACGAATTGTTTAATTTAGDTGCTGCAATATGTTTGTTTAGTTAAGGTTTTATTAAGAAAGCATAAAACTATCATCATCATTCTCAACATTAGTAYTAGTGTTCTCATTTAGTATGATCATTTTTGTTTTGAGTAAGCTACGATTTTCGTCCCGATGGTTTGTTGTTTATTACCAATTTCATCCTTGGTCCTTGAAAATTGCTTTTCTTGTCACTATGGTTTTCAATTTTTTTGTCACTATGGTATTTAATTATCTATTAGAAATTTAATAGTCGTATATTATATTATATTTAATTCTTAATATATATTTTATATATATATATATATATATATAAATGTATATTATATACCCCTATAGGCCTCTCGTTTCCCCACATCGGCCCCATTCCCCGTTAGCGGCACTCCCCTCGCTGACCACCATCTCCAACTCTCCCCTCACCGTAATCCCATCTCCTCTACTGTAACACGATCTCCATCTTCGTCTTCTTTCCACCCACTCCCTCCTTCCACATACTCTTACTTTTACCATCGACTCCATAAGAAGCAATAATATGGACCGAAGGCTCCATCTGTACACCTTCGTCACCGGATTTCATCTTTCAAAACACACGTTATAGTCATTCCCAAGGGATATCATCACCAAATTTTCCACTTTTTGGAGCATTATTTTGGTTTGAAATCAAGAAACTAGATGTAATAATCGAAACTCATTTTCAAAAAAGATGGAAAAATGTTGAAACTCAACTCTTGGGATTTTGAATAATATACTCAAACTTCAACAAAATTAGGTTTTTAAATCACCAAAAAATGTTAAAATTTGCTTGTTGGATGGAAGGGGGTAGATGAAGTCGATGTTCTTCTAGGCTCGAGCCTGGTGTGGTGGAGACATTCGAGATCTTATCGGTTTGGTACTTCGATCAAAGACGGGGTTAGTGTGGTGGTACAGGGGTTATGGTGGTGAGAAGGGGAAGAAGAGAAGACAGTGAGGAGGGAAATCAAGAGAAAGAAAAGAAAAAATATATGAAACGTAGAGGAACTCGGCAGCGAGGAGTGGTGGTGCAGGAATCAACCAGTGATGGAGCTTCCATGGTGTCGGTGAGTAAGGATGGGGAATCACGTGTGTGAGGGGAAGATCTGCGTGTGTGTGTGGGGGGTGGTGGTTGATTTTTAGTTTATATTTATTTTAAAGTTTTAATGTATTAACCTTTGAAAAGCAAAATAAGAATAAGATAAAAAGACCAAATTACCCCTAACATAACAATTTTTTTAACAGAGTTAGCTTCAGGGACGAGAAGCGAAATGAATTGGAAATGACGAAAAAAGCAATTTTAAAGATCAGGGATGAAAATAGCAATAAATAACAAATCACAGGAACAAAATTGGTACTTTAATGCTTTTGTTTTTATCATATATTTATAGTGATATGTATTTTCTAGTATGGTTCAAGTCTGAGTCAAACCATAAGAATATGATATAGAGCACAAGAGAAGTTATGTTTTTTTTGCTGATACTAGAATCTTAACTCATCAAAAGCTGCATTGTGCTTTGACGTTGCATTGGTTTCAGACTTGCAAGTTGCAAAAACATGAAAATTAATTTGGTTAAAAGTTCTAGTTATTGATAGTATATTCTTTGATGATTTAATGATGAGCTATTTGCTATCTTTTGATTATTTTATCATCTATATTCAGCTAAATTTTGAAAAAGAACTCCATTAAAATTTATATATTTGTTACCAAAGGGTTATTGGCTCAACTATATCCGGATTACCGGTAGAGCCAGCCTCCTGGGAGGACAAGGGTTCAAACCTCACCAAAGGTGGGGAGTGTCATTGAGTATTTGCCATATATAAATATGACTTTCAAATAAATTTATTTTTGTTAGTTTCATCCTACTTGTGTATGTCAAAAAATTTGCCAAATTACTTGTTCATGTGATTAAGATTACTAAGGATTAGGGCCTTATTCTAATGTGGTGGCAGGATGACACTTTCTAATCAACCTAAGTTGGTCATCTAAGACCTTCACATTTGTTATGATCCAGCTAGGACTCTAAGCTACTCTCTTCATTTTTTAAAGAAGTTGCTCTATGTGATTTTGATGTCAAACCTAGTAGTAGTTGATTTATGAAGTTATATTTAGTGGTAAAGATAGTAGATGTTCATATTAAGGGTAGGATTATGCACAGTGTTAAGATTGTTTTCTTCTTTTTGGAAGTAAAGGTTTTCGCTAAGGACCCTATTTCGGTGAGGGTCTTGGCTTTGTCCTGTGCAAGGATAGGCCAGATATCATACATGATATTTCCTAATCAGATTTTGTTGTCACACAAAGTGATTAGAAACACAAGAGAAATGGTGGCATAGTTTGTTATTTATATCTCAAGATCCTACATTTTCGGTCATGTGAAACATTGAAGACCATAAAACGTGTTTGGGCGTTCATTGAATATAACCAGCATGATAAAGGTACTTCTTGCACAAATGAGTGTAGGCAGCCTATGTCTCGTATCTGTTAAATCTATTGTGGACTAACAAGCTGCCATGAACTTTACTAGGTTAAGAGTTGTGGGGGTTTCTATTTTTGTGGGCTTTCTATATTTAAGCAAACCAGGTTTCCATTATATTTATGTAATCTAAGGCTAGGGATAACCTTGGGGAGATGTTTGAAGGACTCTGTACGAGATCAATCAGTAAGGTATCTTCAACATATCACGGTTGAAGTGTATTGGAGATTATGCTTGGTTCTTTTAAAGTAGTTTGCTTTGTTATACAATATTTAGACACATGCACCTCAGTTCAAGGGAGTACCAACACTTGTCTTGTGGTCAACCAAAAACTAAATGTTGCAATCGTGCTATTTATTAGCCAGATTATAGAAAGTGAGGTCTCTAAGGGAGACTCGTCGTGGACCATCTAATTAGTTCCTTCTCCAAGAAAGTAGAGCATGCAATAAGAACCCTACACCACGCCTAGCATCTCTAAGGGACTCTTTGGGGCCGTTTACCAAATGCTTATCGTCATGACTTACCTTGTTGAGTAACATTCTCAGCTAGATGGGTAAGAGTCTTCTCCCTCACTTACAATGTAAGAACCTTGGTTGTTCCCATCTCTGATGCTTCTTACCGAGTAAGATTTTCTGTCCTTGCCAATGCTCACCCAGTAAGGTTAGTGTTTTCAATGGAATTCTTTTTATTTTTTTGTTTTTTTGGGGGGGGGGGTGCTAGATGCAGGGAGTAGTGCTAGGAAAGGGTCATGAGTTTAGGTGTGCTGACAGCTTATGATTCAGAATACATCTTCTAATGGATTCAGACATCTCTCAACCATATAGACACTGAAAGTTATCTTTGGCAAACAGCTTGCCCTTCGACCCATTCAGCCATTCAAATCCTGTTAAGATTCAAACAAGCACCACATAACACGAGCAAACTACGATTAAGACATTGATTTGTGAACATGCTTCATGTGCTTGAAGCATGAAACGGTTTTAGTTACAAGGGCAGCCGTGGGATTATAATGCATGCAATTCTAAGAACTGTCCTTTCATAGTTGTCAAATATTCAGGGCCAAGAACAATTGAGTTGGTCTAGATCATCGATCAGAAAAGACTTTGGTGATGATGTAACGCTCCACTTGAATATTGTCTACCACATTTCAGTTCTTTATATTTGATTCTGGAAATAGTTGCATTTCGAATGTTGTAAATCAGTGTTGTTTTTGCATATATGGTTGCTTTCAGTACATTTTTGTGTTTTAATAACCTGTTTTGTACATGTATTGCAGGAGTTTGAGTCTGAATCATGGCTGATGTTATCCCAAGTCGCCAACAGACGGTCTCGTATGTGTTTCTTGTTTGCCAATTGTTTATATAATTATGGTTAACAGTTTAGTTCCAGAAATCCGGATGACTTGATTGGTTGAAATGTTTAACTTGGTACTAGAGAAAGAAAAAAAAGGACCCTTCATTGTTGAACATGTTTTGGTTGGTTGATAATACCAAATCAAACATGAATAAATATGGAAAACATTTGGTTAATGCTTGCTTCTGTGGTGTGTCCCATAATTTCATGGTTTTGTTATTTTACGTGTTACTGGGATTCAAAGTTTTTGTTGATAAATATATATCGTTTTTATCATGAATTTGTTGTTGGGTTATTGTTTTTAATATTCATTAGTGTGGGTCCTGTGAATTGTACGGCGACGATAATTTTTAAGTAGTTTATCGAGTTAACACAAAATGTAATTCTTCAATTAATAATAATGTACAGAAAGTTAACCGATCCAAATGGAATCGACCGACCATATTTGGATATCCAATTGTAATTGGATCGGGTTGAATTGAAAATTTCAACATCCAATTTGGACCGGTTCTTGGATGGTAGTCCAGAACCTGAGAGAATCAAACCGACCAACATCTGTTTATCCATCTAACTAATCAATCCTATTACCATTCAATTATCTATTTAACTTTATTCAATTAATTTGTTTTCAATTTGCTTAAATCTGAATTTGTTTTATATTGGTTTTAACATATATTAGAAAAGATTAATCAATTTGTTTCATTGTTAGAAAAATTATATATATATATATATATATATATATATATATATATATAGGAGCGATCAAATGAAAACCACTCCAATTTGTAAAAACTGTAAAAACTACTCTCATTCATCGTTCATCTTATGAAATTTTTTCATGAAATTGTTAATCTTGTGAAATTGTTTCATATAATACTTTTTTTTTATGAAGTTTCATATGTGGTTATGAAATTGTTTCATATACTACTTAATGAAATTTTAATGAAACTGTTTCATGTATTTCTCTAAAACTAAAATAATGAAGATGATAATATCCATGATTAATACCTTTCACAATAAAAATGGTTAATCAACCTCTCATAATTACAAAAAAAATGAACAAAATGAAAAATTATGATTGGTTGAATGAGGTTTTCACGGTTTTTACAAATTGAGTGATTTTTATTTGAACCCACCCCATGTACATAAATACATCTATACTATATATAAGCTAAACATCACAATGAAACTTCCATGTTTTAAAGATAATATTAAAATCAAATTATTTTAAATTTGTAAGTTATATTTTACACCCTTATAGTTACTTATTTAATTTACTTTATATCTCTTTCTTTTTCATTTTACACGATTAACATATTTATCGTACATAATAATACATTAACTAAAATATATTTAAAAAAATACGTTTTACTTTTTACAAGTTATACAATTATAATCGTCTCATTAATGTCTTCAGAATGAGCTCAATATTGAATATTTTTCGATTTAATCTCATATTATTAAATAGAATAAATGCGTAGTTAATTATTTTTAAAATTTCTATTTTATTATATCTTATAGTTATCGTATTTAATTTGTTTTATATTTCTTACTTTTTTATTTCTATTTTACACCCTTGATTTACAAATTTAAAGTTGTAGAACTCATAACTTTAGATCTTCACATCCCAAGTAATATTAAAGATCAAATACTTTCTTGCTTTTAAATTACAATTTATTATCTTATAATTAGTTATATAACTTGTTTCATACTACTTACTTTTCTGTTTTTTATTTTTTCATTTTTTATTTTTATCATATTAAAATAAATAATCGTATATGAACTAAAATTATTATGAAATATTTTTTTTTATAAATTATATAGTTATAATCGTCTCATCAA